GACTTAAACTTAGACTTAAACTTAGACTTAAACTTAGACTTAGACTTAGACAGATTTAATTGTAATTTTGTTTACACAAGTGTAAAACAAAATAAATTTAATTTAGAACAGCTCTCTGGACTATTTCCTTTTGTGCAAGTGCAGCCTTGAAAATTAGTTTTAAAAAAATGTATAAAAACAGTAATAGAAACATATGACTGTAAATTTACAGAGTTAACATTTTGATATATATAATGATAAAATATAATAAATATTATATAAAATATAATATAATATAAGATAGATATAGATATTGATATATATAGTTAACATAAAATAAACTGGTCGTATTTAACTTAGATTACCTTTAACTTTAACAGTATGCATCAAAACCTCACTATATATTATTGTAGTGGACTCCAGTGTAAACATACCACTCACAATATGGCGGACATACTGACGCGTGGTCTCCATCAAGCAGAGCGGCCAATGAGAATGCGGCGTCTATTCGCGTCTCTCCGTACGTCTGGGCTCGTGATGCAGCCAGGCTGTTCCCCGCCCTCCCTCCGTGCCGTTCCGAATGAGACGCATCCCTCCCTCCGCTGTTCTGATCCTCTTATCAACGAGTAAGCGGCCAAGATGGATGTTGCGAACCAGGTAAGGCTTTTGGAGAAGAACACATCATATCTGCATATTTCATTAATATTCGGCTGATATTTTCTCAGTGGAGTCAGGTGAAAGCAAAGGGGAATGGATTTTCATTTTTATTTTATTTTTTTTTTTTTTATCTAAAGATGTTCAGTCCCATTTATTCTAATGCTATGGCGTATACCGAATAGAGTTTGGATAAAAAAATATGTATTTAGACATGTATAGAATGAAAACATGCATGTTTGGCCGGACAATGCGGAATTGTAGATGGGATTAGACGTATTTGTGCTCGTGATGCTGCAGTCTGTCAGACTGAGCGGCCTGCTGTCAGGATGCTGCAGCGGCTGCAGCTGCAGGGACATTTATCCAAAGAAGGAGATGATTCTCACCGACCCCTCCATAGAGAGCCGGATAATTGATTCAGATTGCTCCTGTTTCAATTAGGCCGCTGTTGCCAAGATAACAATAGTGGAGTGTGATTAAATTACTGGTCAGTGCACAGGCCCAACTCAGAGGAGGAGGAGGAAGAGGAGGAAGAGGAGGAGGATCTCCCGCAGGTTTCTAAGAGTCGAACGGTAGAAATAAATCCGTCCACCCAGCTGCCTGGATCATCTGAGAAAAACACAATTTTTTTTCCTCCCCACCTGTTTCATTTGGATGTTTACATCCAGGGTGATACAAACCGGACCAGCATCACTAGAGATAAAAAATAGAAAGAGATCCTGTTCGGCCATTAACTGATGCACACCTTCTGACTGCGCATCCATCCTGCGCTCTATTGCATCCTCCTTTCATCAATTAAACACTATTTTCCTCATAAATAAACAGAACGGATGCTGCTGGGAAGAATGCAGCCAGAGAGGCAGAGAGAAACACAGTTAATCAGCTTTGTCTAATTGTAATGCTGGCAGCAGCTCTCTCTCTCTCTCTCTCTCTCTCTCTCTGCACACACAGTGCAGACTTTAAAGGCAATATCAGAATTACTCTACGCACGCCTTTCATAACCACATAGATGCAATTGCTGTTTCAGCTGATGTGTGCACTTGAAGAAGCATTCATTTTAGGAAATTACTCTGCACTTAGAGGAATAAAAAAAAAGCAAAATATAAAGAATCTGCATCTGATTATTGTGTGTTTGTTGTTATGTTGACAGCTGGTGGCCCAAGGGCAGTTCACAATACTTAAACAACCTCTGGGGTTCATTAAAGTTCTACAGTGGGTAAGTCTTTCTCATTATTGTTAACAATACACTAAAAAAAATGTTTTTCCCTATGGATAAATAATGTTTATCTCTAGAAATGCAGAAATGTGTGATTAGGTAGCTGGTCTCTGAGGCTCCTATTTTACCACGACTGCAACATTTATTTAAAATACAAACTCTGTTTTCTTTCTGATTAACACTCTAAAATGTCTTTGCATGAGACAAATTATGTCAAAACAGAACAATCATATATTTAAAACATGCTCGTTAGTTCGGTCCGTTAGCAGACCTGCCTCCCCAGCAGCTGGTCATGCAGCTCCTCTTATATAACAGCTGTCTAGT